TTGTCAAATATTTGTGTCTTGTGTATAGGCAAGAATCACAAGTGCATAACACATCATTTATACTCGAAAAAATAAACCTTAAATTCTACTGAAGTTTTTTACACTATTGCATCTTGGTAAAGCACATCATTTTTCAGGCTACTAAAACTAGAACATCATCTGTTGACGCTGCTAAAGGCATCCTTAAACACTCGAGCTGTTCATGCGAGTTGATCTTCGAAGTCCCTTCAGGACGAAATGCTTGGCAGCAAGACATTTCGGTTGTATGTTTTGAATTAACGGTGAAATAACTGGATTGGAATCCAATGATAAGTAATCTTGCATATAAGTTACCTGCCTCGCTTAGCATGCATGGAAAACAGGAATTTCAGAAACGGCACAAAAGCAGACGAAAACTCACAAAAGTTCAGTGCATGCGTTCAATATTGAAAATTTCCTGAATTGTACAAAAACATAGAGGATTTTTGTTTGTTTGTGTGTAAGATGACATATTATTTCATTGCGTGGGCTTCAAAAACAGTATTCTCACGAATGACGTAGCCACGAGTGAGAATACTGTTTTTAAAGTTCACGAGATGAAATAAAATAACATCTTGTCGAATTTCTCATTAAATACAAGAAGTCTTGGGCTGCAAATATGTTCGACAATCAACATAAAATGGCGGTGATATCATTCAATTTATTAAAAAAATACGAATGATGGCTTGTTTTAATAACAAAAACAAACAATTCTATTAGGAGAGATAATCAAACCAACCATCCATATTTCTGTTACTTACTGTGAATTAATGTTAGACCTGGCTTTGTTAAATGTAAGCGACCGCCATTTTTAAAAGTTGTATATTTCACGAGTGTGAAATAATTGTGTTTGACTCAGAGGGATATCATTTGGATTTGTTACCCATACACCTTTTTTAAGAGAAAAAAAACTTATTTGATGATTGTAACAGAAAATAAATAAGTGTTGACAAAAGTGTAAACATTCAAAAAGCGGCTAGGAAATTGGAAAATGTGGAATTGTTGAAAGGCTGCCTAACGAACGCTGGGATGTTTACTTATTCTTCGGGCGGATGACTGTCATTGCTTTTCAAGTTTTCATAAAGCATATGACAGTTATTGCTCGTAGGATACTTAAATATGCCCAAATGTCATCAAGAGCAGTTTTGCATGTAGAAAAGATGTATTTTTCAGATTGTAAACATGAAACAAAAAAAATAAGAGAAGATGCTAACTGATTGGTTATTTGAATGAATAGAAGTAAGTTTTCTTCTTTTTATAACTTTTGACATTTAAGTTGTTTATCAATTTCAGCTTTGCCTTTCTCTGAACAGCCTGACATTATCAGAATTTTGAGCAAATATAAAATTGAGGTACCACATTGGGAAAATCTTTAGAAAACAGTTTCGTCATTGAAAAGTGTGAACTTATATTTTGTTAATTTTCACTGTGAAATTATCAAATATTGAAATTGTCACGAATAAATCAGTAATCCACTGAAAAGCATAAAATAAAATCTTTTATTCTATAATAATATTTAAATACAGAAGTAATTTAGTGTATGCCTAACTAGATTAAACATTTTTGAGGTCAAACCATTGCGACTTATACCATTATAAATTAATGATCATGATATGGTAATTTAGAGAAACTGTTCAAATTCTCCGCTTGCAGTAAATCTTGCAGTAAAATATTCTCGGACCTTTTCGGTAAGGACGTCGAATATAATTAGTAAGAATACGGAATTTCAGCCAAACTAACTCTATGAAACTTAACATATAAATAAATATTTAATCAATGCTGGGAGTAATTGGCTATGTTAAGCTCAATATATTAAGATGTCCACCTGAATAAAGTAAATGTATCGATATAAAAGTACATAAAACATTATTTATACACTTGATATCACGGTTGTTGAAATCGAAAGTTCAAAATATTTACCTTTTGACAATTACGGATTTATATATTTTTGTACATCAGTTGGAGTATCATAATTTACAGATAAATACTTCATTTTCGTTTGAAAGTCAAATGTATACATTCGCTACACATTATCATATTTGGTTAAAGTTTGCCCCCCCCCCCTACAAGCATAAAACACAAACAAACTTAAGCTTCATGAAATTGCAAACTCATTTTGATTGAGTCAGTACAAGATTACACCCTATGGTTTTAGGAACATGTAAAACCAAGTGGTAGAACTGTTTCTCCGAGGATATTATGAATAGTAGCCGACGTGATCCGATTGCTCGGAGAAGCAACAGTTGGACTTGTCTGATATATATTTAAATACAATCTTACTTTTTTTCTTATGGCGATAACGTCTCCTCTCAAAAAACCTTTGAAAACGATTCCCCTTCCTTCTGTTTTCCTGCCTTTTTTCATCTGAAAAAAATATGTTTACACAAGAAAATTATTTTTGATATTTGTTTTCAAGAATTGCAAATTGCTGTTATATATCTCGAGTAACTAACATATGTAAATATCGATTGTGATGATGAAAATATAAAGTCAATCATCAAAACTCGATTTGTACATATACATAATCAAATAAAGTTTAATTAAAAGACCATTGCTATCTTGTAATAAGAATAATAATATTGAAGTGGTTATAACAGCAATTAATTATGTTTGAAGAGTTTGTAAACATTCTATAAAGTCATGTTTTTCTAAATGAGTCTTTCAATTGTAAGAATTTACAATTTTCTTTTAATGAAGCTCCTGTATTAGGGAAATTTATTTATTTTCATTTGTATACCTGTTCAAATAATGTCATACTGTAGGATACCCCCTGGTAAGTGAGCGGGCATTGGCGTCCAGTTTTTTTTCCAAAACACGATTATATTATACGGGCATAGAGGGATTGTGGTATTACTTGATAACGTAGCGTCGGACGCATGAATCAGTTATGTAGATCAAAACCTCTACTTATGTTTAGAGATTTATTTAGAATTTATGTTATGAATTAAAAGGTCGAATGATGCTCGCAAAATTAAGTTGGTCTAAGACGCAAATTTATACCATTTGAAAAATGTGTGTATAAAATACTAAGTCTTAAATTTGAAGATTATATCACAAATCTTTTCAATCTTGAGACTAAGTCTTAGCACCATAATCAAAGTTCAAAGTCAATGCCCATGCATGTTAAAGTTAGATACTTGGGTCTGGGTGTACATTAACAGAAAATATATAAAATGTATAAATTATTATGGCATATTTGAGTGAATATTAATTCCTATAAAATTTGAACCTACATGAACAATATTACCTGCAAGACATGGTTTCATAAATTCTACTTCAGTCATTTTTACGTTTGTGATCACTCCATATTCAAACAAATCGGTAGATCACTATATTTATACTAATATATTTTACAATGACAAAATTAAAATGATTTTTTAAACTACGAATCAAATCAAACACAACCTGTTTCTTTTATTAATTTGAGCTGAAAATACTTGTGATGACTGTTGCATACACATGTTAAGAATTGGAATGTTTGTTGTTTAACTTATAAAAACATTTAATCATTCACGTTTGCAAAGGCGACAAATTCTTTCTTCAATATAAACATGATATAAAATCTAAATTCTGCAAGTTCTTCAAAAGGGTAAAATTCTTATTTGAACAGTTTTTAGAAATCAGTACTACTAACAACGATTATATGATTGTCAATTAAGCACGTTTTATTAGTTCACATCTATGTTGTTACCATTTTTTAACAACTTTGTGCTATTGAAATCTACCCATATGTTTTCAATTAAGATCATCTTTAGATTGTCAAAATCAAAATATCTGCATAAGCAAGGCCATTAATATCGAATATTTTAATAAACCCTTATATCAACAGAATAAAAATGTGCTTAGTCTCCAATAGTTTTTATAAATTTATTGTCTGCTTTCAAAAGCTCTAAATGAACTACTTCTGCCTTATTCAAGATTAAAACATATTTTTGTATCAACAAAATAAAAGGATGCTTACCTTGCATATTTGAAGACGTGTGTTGTGCTGGCAGTCGTTCTTCTATTTCATCTATTTTAGTTTTAACAGTATTTAAGTCTTCATTTGTCTTTTTATGACCAGCTTTTAGAAGCTCTATTTCAGCTTCTACTGCTTTATCGTGTTTTTCCCATTTTTCAATTTCATCTGTTACCCTCTGTTCTGTTTGTGGATCAAGAGGGCTGTATTCAAAGTCAGTAATCGTCTGGTGAAAGTCTTTGATGGGATACACCTTATCAAATCTAAGGAGAATCTGCAAAGGGCACAGTTGTGGTAATTATGTTAATTATACTTTCCTTGCGTTCGCCAAGAAGGAAATATATGCATTTCATATGATTAATATTTTCATCATTAGCAAAGTACAATATACTGGCTTTTGTTATTTGGAGTTCCGACTAAATGATATAGGAAGAGTAAGGAAATTATGATGTGAATGAATTTCCTACTTTTACTTTTTTATTTGTTACACTGATTGTAACGAAATATTCAAACACTGGAAAATGCTTAAAATGAACAAAAAACTTGATATATTAAATAACAGATACACAATATGTGAGAAAATGAATTTGTTGAATTTATTATATCGTCATTCAACATTAGATATACATATTTCATTAAATCAAACATACTAACTTTAAAGTGTTTGGCTGATATCGTATTTAATTTAGTGACAAGTGTTTCCTGCTATCTAAAGATATGTACTATGCTCAACTCGGATATTAGAAAATAGTGATAATTGCTACACAGCCCCATTTTGTAAATGAATAGTGTATTCAGACTGATATTAAAATTAGACATATTTAGTCAGAATTTCATAGATTTTTATAAATTTCTGTGCATAGTATATCTTTAACATGACAGTACAATTCTCTTGCAGATTTGTGCGAAAAGACTTGTTAAATTGCAATTTTAAAACAAACCATTAACAACTTTTGCAATAAAATAACTTTTGGAAGCTGACTAAAACACTATCATGAAAGTTTGGTAGATTATACAGTGATCCAGGCTGACTTGGATCTATGTTTGAGGCGAAACAATTATTGCTTCTCTTTTAGTTAAAAAAGACACACAGTCTACAAAAATCTTACATTGAGTTTTAAATAAAAAAATACCTGTTCGATTTCTTTCCACTTGGTACTAAAATCGTTATATTGTATCCCTGTAGTGGTCGATATATGACAAATCTGAAGATATAAAATAGTTACTGCTTTATGCATGTCTTCACTGAAAAAATCGATTGATTTCTATCTCTATCAATACTAATTCAATTTTGAAATATCTCGTTTTAAATCCTTGAATAATGAAACAAATCGTCTTGACAGAATAACTAATATTAGAACCTTTTGAGTATTTCCGCGGTTTAACGATCCAGTGTGATTTTTATCTGAACAAATATCAAGACATATTAAGCAAACTTGTCTGCTACCTTGGTTCATTTATCATTTAACTAAAACATAAGACTATTAAAAATCTTACTTCGTTCCTGTAATTCTTCAGTCTACATATGTCTGCTTCGATGGAAGTATCACTTTGTCCTGGTGAAATGTTCCAATTAAAGTTTTTATTTAATTTGAAACATTTTAGACTTCTCATGAGGCAAATGATAAGTGTGATGTCCAAATCTGACGTTGAAATAGTGCCACTTGATGGATACAATACATCATATTGCACCTGTGTTATTATCCCACGTCCCTTTAAAAGTTTGATTGTGGTCTTTTCTTTCGCAAGACAACCGCTGAGAGTAATAGATTGAGCTGAAAGTTCCTGATCTACATAATTTCTTAAAACTGCAAGTCCGCCATCTATAATTAGCATTTGTAGGCGGAATAGGAAGATACGATTGTCTGATGCCTGTGCCGAAGATGATGTTCCGGGTTGAGCAGCAGCCATGACTAGTCTAACTTTTCACAAGAGTTTATTTTTATGATGTCAGACCTGTAAAGTTCAATGTACCTTTTATGTAGAATTATTGTAGGATTGACACCAAACAAATATACAATTTATGAAGAATTATTTTGAAATCCATACAATGCAATAAAATATCGTTATTTCATAAAGAAATGTTCATAATATCAGTAAACTTTTCATTAAAGTTGAAGATTTCATTTTGTGCATCACACGAAACGAAATATAAGGCAAGGCAAACATAAATTTCAGATGTCATATATAATCAAATAGATAAATAGATAAATAATGAACTTAACTGTTGACTAAATGGAAACATAGATCGTCATACGTGGTCATTTTGTGAAGATTTGTGACACCATACATGTTTCAAAAAATATAAAAATTAATATCCTTTCAATTGAAGAAAAAACGATTTTTTTTCAAAAGTGTACTTTTTCTTATTTCGCAATTAAACCTGATACAAGATGTTCAATGTTCAATTGTTTGATGCTTTATCTCAATAATTTGTTTCATAGAGATCACAAATTGTGAAATTATGATGGTTTCTTAATCTTATGATATATTTTTAGGCTTTTTTTAACATAGAATTTTGCTTATTCAATACAAATTCATGTTGCGCGTAAACAAGATAAAATGATGCGGATGAAAAATTATGCTGCCTTTTCAAAAAGTTTTTACGAATTGGCAATTAATTCGAAATTAAGGGAAATAAAATAAATTGATTTCATCATACATATAATTTGCAATTATATTGTTTCTAAAATAGAAAAAATGTAAACCAAGAAATACCAAGGTGGCCCGCGTCAATGACCTAAATTTATTTGCTTTTTTGTTTTGACGTTTGTAATTAAATGAAAAACATAGGTCATGTTCCGGGCGCATGTATGTCAATCCAAATGGTGCATAACTTTCCTCTGTAGCGTTTTTCTTTTCCCGTTGCGCTTGCAGAAATTCTTTCTTTGCCGCAATATATTAATGAAAATATTCGGTAGAACTGAAAAACATTTGTTTTTACAAGCATCTATCGAGATAAGAACATGAACCAAAATAGAGATTTTCTACCAAAGGAATCGGAAAGTTGATAGTATATATGTATTATTGAAATATTGAAAGATACAACGCAACGCTTAAATACATTTTAAGTCAGTGTCGCTGTCATAAGTGGTGTTCAAATGTAAGCGTTAACATATGTCACGTGATCAATTACCCTGAGATGTATAGCTTCTATAAAAAATATTATTAAATATCAATTCGTATATTACTTCTGTTGCGCATATGAATTAAATATTTGAATAACGGCATGTCTTTTTATGTACTTGTAACTGACCATATAATGATCTGGTCCACGTTTTAATAAAAGACGTTCTCAGTACCGTTTTAATTGTTATTTGATTATGATTTCAATTTAAAAACTCTTTCGAATGGTCTTTTTTTAAATATTCAACAAACACAAAAATGCTTGAATGGTTATGCGATAGTACATGATTGACAAAAACTTAAGATCAAGTCGATTAATAGTCAGTCTACCTTATTGTTTTACACTTTTTTATATCAATTATAACATACCATTTGCGACAATAACAAAACAAAGTTTGCGTAATTGATATAATTATTGGTTTTCAAGTGACAGCTTTATCATATTGTTCTATCAATTATATACTCAAATCTTTTGTTTTAGGCATTGTTCTTTTTTATTTTAAAGTTTTGTATTTCTTATATATGGACCGCCACTAAATATTTTTTAATTATATTGAAGAATTGACGACAATGTTATCTTAAAACAAAATAATTGATTAAAATTGCAGAATACAAAGGTAATTGTGATACCACGTTTGTTAAATTTGATTTATGGTTTTATTATTTTTTAAATTTGAAACAATTAATTTATTTGTAAAAAGAATTCAATATCAAAGCTTTAAATAAAAATCTAATCCTGGATAGATATGAACTGCGTAAAAGCAAGCACAATGACATATGGTCGCTGACGTTTCGGGGATTGTGTGTTTTGAGGTTCTATACATTGTATGAAGCAGAATGGTTACAGAATTATTGGTCAGGAAAATGCGTCGAAAGAAGTGCCTTATTTTCAGTTTGTTATATATATGACGATTATAGCTGTATTCTAGTCTAGAACGCACAAACTGTGATGTTGAATTTAATTGTATTACGTATCATCTTTTACATTTTTTTCTGTTTGTTTTGTCCCAATTAATACATGTAAGAATTAAAACATTTATGTTTTGACTTTTGGATTTTAAGAGTGATTTTTATATCAACATTCTTTTTTAAAAGCACAACACCTACTTACCGATATATTGTATCTGGTCTTTGGCGATTTATTAATATTTAGTATTGTAAAGGTAAAGTTGTTTAAATGAAATTTAATGAATAAATAGATTAAAGAGTCATGGCTGTATTTTCAAATATTTCCTCCCGCATAGAGTTTAAGGCGAAAATACAATCAATTAAAATAAATAATATCTAAATTTTGAATAAACACTTCAAATCGATCTGATTGTCATAGGTGATACAAATATAATGTGTGTAGTAGTCCAGTGATATTTGAATACTGCAATCTTGATTCAATGATTTTTTGTATAGATAACATTGACGTCAATACCTTAAAATAATGCTTATAAAATAATGCAAACCTTATTTGAAAAACATGTATAGATATAGCCTATAGTCTTTAAATATCTTTTTGCAATACTTCACACGTTCATCAACAAAATGTTTTTTTATCAATATCCTTTTATAAAGCCAAATTCTTGAATGGTTGCATTAAATATGATATGTCAAACAAGAGACTGCCAAACCTTGTCCTTTATGGTCTGTATTTTTACAAATTGATAAAACATTTTTTAACTCAAGTATGATCGGATATATTAAAACATACATTCACAATTGTCTTTAAGGTCATTGTTAACAAACAAATGATTGAATTGTCTTTCAGCAATATTATTATTAATATCACAATGTTATTGGTGAATTATGTTACAATATACAGTAACATACAATATTTCCTAAAACCAACATGATCCTTGAATTAAAGACTGCTGCACTTGAAACATCGTGTTAAACCCTTGTTACACTAAAAAGCGGCGTTTTCACGGCGTCCAAAGGAAATTCAGAATGCCGAGGTGAGCGCAGTTAGATCGCAAACATCGCTGCAGTATCTCCACAGCATCTCCGTAGCATTGCAGTGTTATGGCATGGAACACCAACCGACGGCGCACATTTTGAGCATGCTCAAAACAAACAGCGTTCTGATAAGAGCGCTGTAGGATCGCAGCAAGGACACCAAGACAACTCATTAGCATCTCCTACAGCGCAACAGGAGCGCCGTGAAAGCGAAGAAAGATCGCCGAATGAACGCCTTGGGTAGCTTAGGCGCTTGTACGGAGTTTGTGCGGCGTCACTACCTCGCTTATACCGCGTGTGTACACTGCTTTTACGGACCTGACCGTATTTTTCTGAAAAAGTTGTAACTGCGGCTTCAAGGCACAGTAACGGCGACAATTGCGATCCTACTGCGTTAGTCTGAATATGTACAGTTAAATCACTACCTAAGACCCACCGGAAAATAAGACCACCCCGAATTGAGACCAATTTCAAAAGAACGGAATACTAGTATTCTATTCTTTATGTTAATAGTTACATGATCCACAATTAAGACCATCCTTATTTATCTACTTTTAAGACCACTAGTTTCAGTCTCTTATCATTGTTTTATTTATTGAGATTATTAATATTTCCAGACAATACCTATTTGGATAACAAGTTTGTCTGCTTGAATACTCTGAAGCATGACACTTGATGAAACAATGTATTTTGATTGGACATTAAGGTGAGAAAATTAACTTCCTCGTGGTTTCATGTTCATTCCTGTGAATTTTATAGTAATAATTGAAGTTTATTATAACATGTTTAAACATGTTTATACATAATACTTAAAATAGAGTGGCCATTAAATATGTAACCCTTGAAAACTGTATCTACAATGAAGACCACCTGCAGTTAAGACCACCTTAGACCAGTACCTTTGTTGGTTTTAATAGAGGATTTTCATTCATGTGCAGCAGGTAAACGACTATTCAGAATGCGTAATCGCCGGTATATGAAGCACGATTTCAGCGCCGTTTGAGCGCCGTAAAAGCGCAGGGGAAGCGCAAAGAACGCAGTAGAAGCGCAATCCAAACTCAGACAATCGACAATTTTAACACCGTAAGAACGCACTACAACGCCCTGGAAGCTCTGTAGCAATACCATGATTGCCGTGAGGACGCCTTGAAGTCTCCATTTCAACAAAAAATCAGGGTGTTTTTGCGATCTCACGGCGCTTTTAAAAATTATCAACGCCGTGCAAACGCAGTAAAAGCGCAGTCTAGTGTGACAGGCCTTAACATATGCCTTGGGATTGCATTTAATTTTAAAAATATATATGAGTAAGTTATATTAGAACAGTATAAATTCATTTGTTGAAACAGTGTTTAGTGTTAAATGCCTATTGCGGTCACAAGGGGCCTAGGCTAAATGAATGCCATAAACAATTGATCAGATGATAGCCAAGAAGCTTAACATAAAGCCTAAGCAAAACAAATAAGTATTAAGGCAACACATTGTGACCTGATCTGCCTTAAGTCCCATGGCTATATTGTTTAATTGTTACCGTGTCTTGGGATTTAAAAAAAAATCCAATCAATGTTCAGCAGAGTAACACATTGCATAGTAATCCACAGATGCTTGCCCATTCTGGCGGCATTTGATTGATACCAAGCAATTAAAGACGATGAATTAACATAAAATGAATATCAAAGAATATCATTTAAAGAAACAAACACAAATGTCTTAGGCCTTTAGTCTACCCCATTATCGTTCATATGAGCATGCTAGTTTTTTCATTTAACATTTTGAAGACTCTGCAATAGTTTTGTGGTATCATCTCATCTATACAAAGATCCATAATTGTTTGGCAATATTGGCCTGAGACATTGAAATATTCAATGAACTTTTGCCGGT